ATATATATATATGTAGAGAGAGAGAGAGAGAGAGATAAGCACTTAACCAGGAACCGGGCTACGGTTGATAAATTAAATTATTAAGGCGTGTGTTTCAGGTGTTTTTTGTAAAGAGACCAACTATTCTAGAGATTGGTGCAACTGTTGGGGGAGATGAGAGAGTCTCAGACAAAGTACAAACTGGACCAGGCTAAGAAGATATGGTTGTATATAATCTGTCCACTGGCTTTCCATTCAAGGTTAAATGGTAGCCAGGTACAACAGTAAATACTGTCCAAACAACTTGTGGACGAAACAAACCAGACACGGAAAAGTGCTAGATTCATAACATCCATCGACCCTTCTGATAACCCATTTTGCTTAACTTTCCTGATATCTCATCATAGCTTGATTTTGCCCAACAACAGAAATCATAGCTTCATTCATTCCTTCCGGGGTCCCAAACAAGATTTCAAGCTGCATATTTTGGATATGCCAGTCTAACTTCATCGTGTATCAGAAGCCGCCTTCAGCAGCTATCACTCTGGTTAGTGAAGATCTTTTCTAGAAATCTTGTTACGGTGAGGCCATGGTTCATCTGGTTTGAATGGTTCATCTGACAAGTGAAGACAAGTTTGTTGAATGGTGATGAGCATGGGTGCAATTACATTTCTGGTGATTCTGCTCATTCTTGCAAATTTCGGAGCTCTTGCCGGTGCTCATGGAACTCACAATTTCTCTCAGGTGGATTCATCCTGCAGAACTTCTTGCAATAACACTTTGGAGGACAAGAGAGGTGTGCCAACAGGAGCAAATCCTCTGCATAATAGGTAGAACTAGAAGAAAGGAAGAAATTATGCTCCATGAATAATTTCCTCAAGCTCTTCATTTTTTTTCTTCAAATTTTTACAGATGTTGTTCATTGAAATATATTAATATTAATTGATTTCACACACAAATTACATGGTTTATCGAAATGCAAATGAAAAAAAAAAAGAAATTTGCCTTTAATTATCGATTATGTTAGCAGTATCTGTTTCCTTCTAATTAAAGTATAGTACCACGGGTCCGACATGTGGTAGCATGAGTTGTCTGCTGTTTTGGTGTTGCATGCTTATGATAAGCATAGCGTGTCTTTATTTAATTATTATTATGAGGTTTTGATGATGGAGTCGTACATCAATCATAACGTTCCTCCATATGAAATGAATGAAGTAATCCCTTTGTTGTTTTCCTCTTTATTTGTTGAGCTAAAACATGCAGTAATCTATCATTGCAAACCTTCCCTCTGAATTGAAATGATGACCAAGATATGATTACCAAAACTTATTACAGAATTTGACTTCAAATTAACAATGCATTATTTCAAATTCGAACCAATTTCTCTTCTAGATTCAAAATGAAAACAGAATGGGTTTGCATTTGCTGTATTGATAGCACTTAAACTTGTTTTACTTTTTGTTTTTAAAATAAGGGTTGCCATATAAATTTACATGTGGATTGAGGGTCGCCATGCATGCGCTTTTCTTCTCGTGAAAGATGCTGATGATGAATACAAACAGCAAACAACCTAATCTAACTACTAATAAACTACGCATTAGAGTATATTACTTTACCTTATCTGCTAAAGTATTCAATTCCACGCGTGATACAGGGGATAAGCTTTTGATTATTAAATTTGTAATTAAACACTAACTAATGTTTGCATGCAAATGCAATGCAAGAGAGCAAAGAGCCAGAAAGAGAGAGGGAGAGAGAGAGTTGCTGTTGGTGACTTGGTGTATAGTGTTGAGGCTTTTCTGCTGGTCTCTTCACACGTCTCATTCTGTGCCGTGCCAGGTTTTTCCTATCTTATCAAGCTGACAACTCGCCTAACGAGGACAAAATTTGTTATAATTTGATTGCGTTTTAGTTTGTACTAGTATTTTAATTTGTTATTATAATTATTTGCCTATAAGTGATCTCTTATAATTCATAAAATTTCTAAATTTTGAATTTCACTTCTAATTGATTGATTCAATTTTAATAAATAAAATACTTTAAAATGATTTTTAATTTACTTTATGTATAAGGTTTGGATGCACGGGCATTTGAGATTTTGATAGGCATCTATATTACATATAACTAAATTTACGAGTTTGTATTTTTTTATAAATATAGAAAATTGGATTCAAATAAAGATTAAGTCAAAATTTAAGTCCTTATTTTTAAATTCTAATTATGTTCGAGGGTATTTATAGTAAAGTTCCATTGAATACAATGATGAAATTGACAGTGATGAGATAGAAAATAGTGATGGTAGTGAGATTGAGACTTATAACAATAAAATAAAGAGCCGTGATAACAAGATTGAAACCAGCAATGGAACAAATTATGTCGATCAAAATAGTGGTGGCTTAGGGTGAGAATAAAATTTAGATATGGTCAGAATTTTATAAATATTTGATATTTCAAATGCTAAAAAGATATAATAATAATAAGAATATATTTACACATGTATATAAGTAATGAAATTTTATTTATTTGAAAAATTGAAATTATATTATATTAGGTAAAATAGCAATTTGTAACAACTAATAATAATATATTAAAAATAAAAATAAATGAAAATTTTAAGAAAATAGAAATTAAATGAAATGACTATTACTTGTTCATATATTGAAATAAAATGAATATTTTAGGTAATAATGAATTATCCTATTTCTAAAAAAATAAAAATAAAATTTATCTACTTAGTTATGAATGTATTAATTTATTTTTTAATCACTTATGAGTATATTAATTTTTGTACTTACTAATTTATTTAATAATGTATTAAAAAGTGATTTATTTTGCTTACTTACTATTTTACATATTTATGTAATCACATAGCTGTTTAATTATTTGACTTTATAGTTAATTATTTCCATATTAGTGGGACTCAAGGTAAAATATTTCAAAATTAGTAAGAAACCTATTTGTTCCTTTTCTTTTTTT